CCCAGGAATACCTGGAACGAGGTCCGCTGGCAGCGCCACCTCCTTCCTTTTACCAGCGACGGCCGTTCCGGCAGCCGCCGCCTTGCCCCGCGCCTTGCCTTTACCCTTGGCAGGCGCGGAGGAACCAGCACCACTTCCACCAGCCATCAAAGAAACAGGAGGACTTGAAAAAGATTTGGAAAGAGAAAGAAGAAGATTTAGGAAGAAGAAGAAAGGAAACTGTAGAAAGGAAGTACCTGGTACTCTTCCTCAGAAAATAACCCTAACAATGACTGGGTTAACAGAAATGGCGACGAAAACAGAGAAAATGAAGGCAGAAACTGAACAGAAATGAGAGTGCAGAAGGCAGCGTACTCAAGAAGCCAAACGAGAAAGAAAGCGAAAATGAGTAAAGTGAAAGGCCAAGAGGTGCGAATGCGAGAAAAAAGGCTTTTTCCAAAATTCAAATGGCCACAACACGTGTCGGCCAGGGGGCACAACTGGCGACACATTTAATGACCCCCATTATGATGAGCATCAGTTATAATTTCATAACCGTCACCCTCTCTCACGCGCCGCCTGCACGCTTTCGAGAAATGACACTTACGACACATGACACCTTGACAGGCCAACGTACGCAAAGGGTCACTGCTCCATGTTGAGCTCGGTCTTAACTCCTCGACCTACGGACCTCGGAGCTCGGGGGGCTAGTGTACTATCCATACCGCGAGCCGAGCTCCCAGCTCGGCATCACAGCGCATGACGACCTCGGTGACGCGCTACGTGACGTCAGCTCGTCACTTAAACCAGATCATAACTGATCTGAGGAGATCTCGGTCCAGAAGAGATCCGATATCTAGTCAAATCACAACTGATCTCAGGCCCAAGGCCCAATACAACCCCAATTCACAACAAGGTACGTGCATTACTTATACGAGACTTATACACACACAAACCCTAACTTTAGCATCGGAGTCTCTTTTGCAGGTACCACCCCCATCTTGGAACACCAGCGTACCAGTGAAGGAGGCTCACCAATCTTGCTTGGAGAATCAACCCTACGACAAATTCCCAGTAAGAACAACAATAATATAACAATAATATAAAACTCAATTAATTTTCCAGTTTAATACAATATTAAATCAATAGAATTACCAATTTAATATAACATTCATAAATGTAATAATAATCAATGGAATTATCAACATAAACAATAAAACCCCTAATTATTCCAAAACCTAGCTCACAGTATTTTACTACAATTTCGTT